ACAATGTAACAAAAATGTATACATTAGATAATTAGATGTAAAGGGCACAAATTTCAAGCTCCTTCATCTAATAACCTTATTAGGTTATCTTTAAAGATAACCTAATAACTGGAAAGAGTAACCATACAAATAGAAGACTAAAGCTTATAAATATATCAATCCTTCCCCCCAAAAAAAGTATGTATGTATAAATATATGTGTAGACACACACACATTCTTCCCAAATTGTTATAGATTCAACTCAATCTTAATTCTAATCCCACCCTTGTCTTTCTATAGAAATTGACAAAGTGATTCTTAAATTTGTATGAAAACGCAAAGGATCTAGGATAGTCAAACTGTCCTTAAAAAAGAAAAACAAAGCTGGAAGACTAACTCTATCTGACTTTAAGGACTTAATTAAACTTACAGTAATCAAGAGTGTGGTATTAGTATAAGGATAACAAATAGGTTAATGGAGCAGTATAGAGTATAGAAATAGACCCACAATTACAGGGTCAATTGATTTTCAACAAAAATGCCAAAGAAATTCAATGAAGGATGAAAAATCTTTTTAAGAATGGTGCTGGAACAACTGACTACTCCTATAGGAAAGAAAATTAACCTCTAGCTCATACCTCACACAGTATACAAAAATTAAAGCTAGATCACAGGCTGAAATACAAATTCTAAATCTGTAAAGGTTTTAGAAGAAAACAATATTTCTGTGACCTGGGAGTAGGCAATGGTATCTTAGCCAAAATATCAAAAGCAATATTATAAAAAAGATAAATTAGACTTCCTCAAAATTTAAAACTTCCGCTCACCCAAAGACACCATTAAGAAATTGAAGAATCAAGCCATAAACTGGAAGAAAATATTCACAATATTCTGACAAAGGATTTGTAACCAGAATACATAAAGAACTCTTACAACTCAAAAATAAGACAACAAATTCAACCAAAAACAGGCAAAAGATTTACACAGAAAGCAGGATCAATGAATGGCCAATAAGCACACACACACACACGCAAAATGTTCACAATATCATTAGTTATCAGGAAAATGTATATCAAAACTACAAGAAGCTGCTACCATACAACCACTAAAATGGCTGAAATTTAAAAGACTAACAAAACTCAATGTTGGTGACAATATGGAGCAATTGGAACTCTCATATATTGCTCTTGAGAATGTAAAATGACTCAACTTGAATGTCAGGAAATGGACTAGCAGTTTCTTATACATCTACCCTTCATAAATTCCATTCCTAAGTTTTTATCCAAAAGAAAGAAAGCACATCCTCACAAAAAGACTTGTACACAAATGTTCATAGCAGTATCATTCATAATAACCACAGTTGGAAACAACTCAATAGAAACAGGGTAAACAAATTGTGGTGTACACTACACAATAGAGTACTACTTAGCAATAAAAGGGAACAAATTATTGATAAATGCAAAAATCACATATAAATTTTACAGACTTTAGCTGAGTGGAAGATGTCAAACACAAAGAAATGAATATTCTGTGATTCCAGTTATGAAGTTCTCAAACTGGCAAAGCTAATCTAAGGTGGAAAATAAAATCAGAACAGTGATTGCCAGGGGAGGGAATGACTGAGAAGGGACACAAAAGAAATTCCTGGATAGACAGAAATGTTCTATAGTAACATGAGTATGGAGGTTACAAGACTTCATCTGTTTGTCAAAATTATGTAGCTAAGACTTGTACATTTCAATTTATGTAAATTATAACACAAAAAAGAACTGTAAAAAATAATATAATAAACAGGATGTGGGGTAGGGTGTGGGTGGAGATAGAAATAAGAATGGCAGAAAGTTCATAAGTGTTGAAACTGTCTGACAGGCCCAAGAAGTTCATTATTTTATTTTGTTTACTTTCTATATGCTTGGTATTTGTTTAGAATTAAAAAGTTAAGAAGTTAAATATTTTTGGTTAAAATAACAATTGGTCTACATTTCAATATAAAAGTACAGTTATATTCTAATCTTCCAAGAAAGAATGTCAAACTCCTACTTATATCATTCCTCTCCAGTATCTAGTATGTATTGGGTTGGTCAAAAACTTCACTCAGGTTTTGCCTTAAGATGTTCTGAACGAACTTCTTGGCCAATCCAATAATATATTTAATGTAACTATAAATCTTTTTAATAATGCTGTTTTTCCCTTAAAAACATCCATAAAGAAATTTTCCAAGCAGTTTTTTCCCAAACCTTTTTTTATCAAGATTTAATTGACATGTAACATTATATCAGTTTCAGGTGTACAACATACTGATTGGATGTATGTTTGTATATATTGCAAAATAATCACAAGAAGTCTGGTTAACACCCATCACGAAACATACAGATACACCATACACCAAATTTTATATTTTAGAAGATAATCTACATTTGCAGCAAATATAGGGAAAGCCCCCGTTCTAAAATTGGCATTGCTTACAGCAGAGAAAAAGACAATTTCTTTTTTAATTATAGCAATTCAGATATTTTATAGTGAAATATTTTCCCTTTTCATCTCTTCCTTCATGCTTCATCATTGATGAATTTCAAAAATAATGATATGATAATATTTTTTAAATCTAGGGATGACAGCCTTTAGAGATATTGATAATAATAGCTGACATTTTCACAGCACTTTGTGATTTACACAGCCCTTTAATATAGATTGTCTTATTTAGTTATCACATCACTCCCTCGGAGTTAATAATATTATGCATAATTATTCCCAGTATAACAATAAGGAAACTGAGTTAATAAGTAGCAGAATATTGGAAGCTAGGTATTTGAACTTTAAGTTCAGTACTCTTTCCATGGCAAATCTTCCCTAGATAAATAATAAGCTTACAGCTATATGATTTCACTGATTTTTCTAGATTCATCACTAAATGCTACCAGTTTAATCAAGATAATATATAACACACCTGTAACCTGACTCTTTTTATGTATTAAATATTAATTATTATTAGAAAAGTATTTGACATCTACATTTATCTTGCTTTAAGAAACAGCCTTAATCCTAAAAAAGAAAACTTTAATGTAAATTCCTTAAAGGGAACCCCATGTTTATCACTAATTCCTACTGGGAAAATATCCTCACAAGTCAAATTGAAAAACCTGTGTGATGAAACTTACAATTTGGGGCAAACTTGTAGCATGACAGAGGTAGTTTTGGGAATTCTTTACAAAATTTCAGTCTCCATTTTCTGGGAATGTATCCAACAAAATTAGGCCACAGGGACATCCTTCATCAAAAGGGGCTGTGAAGCACAATTTGCTTAATATTCATTCAATGATATAAATATTAGGCATTTACTAAGGGTCAAGCAGCTTTCCTTCAAATTTTCCATGTCAGGTAGACTAAACTAAATAAATATTTTCCTTTTCTAATTTGTATAAGTTTAATTATATCAAGTAAGATAGATTTGAGAGATACCATAAGCCCACTGAAACTAAAACTATATTTTAGTAAATACAGTAAATTTTAAAAACGTTTAGTAATCTGATATTTTAGTAAACATGAACAAGAGACAGATTTCATTTGAGTGATATCTGTTTGAATCATGGTTTCTTTTAACATTAAGTCAATAATTTGCATGGGCAACAGTTTATATGGTTTTGATTATAGTTATTAAATAAAATATTCAATAAACAACCAGTAACAAAAATGATCATTTCATAGCACTGGGGCAAAACTCATTGCAGAAAGAGGCTCTACCTATTCAAAAGAAATTAGCAAACTCAAGCAATAATTCAAAGGAGATCAGGAACTGAAACAGTATGCCAGGCAGCACTCTGAAAAATTTGCTGTGTCAAATTCCCAGTGCATCCATTAGGTGTGAGTGTCAGGGCCAAGAGTGCAAACCACTTCTGAGAAATGGAACTGAGGATAGAGAGGATGCTGGTTCTAGTACTATCATTCTGTGGATCATCATACACTTCCATCTAAAATGTAAAATCCCAAATAGTACATCCATAGATAATATGAAAGTTGTATAACTTGCAAAATACATTTCTGTAAGTGCACATAATAACTGAATAAACAATCGTACAAATTATCATTTAGTTACCACCACCTTTCAAAAGCAGAAGCTTATTTTAAATGTTTCCTTCACCTGGCAATACAGTCTCGTTTCTTTACATTAAAGTATTTTACAAAGATCTTAGAAATATTATGTTCCTTTATGGTAGCTCTGTTTATCTAATTTTTGTTTTAATATGATCCTTTAACAGAGAAATCCCCTCTTCAGATGTTTAATAAAAATTAATGAACAAAGCATAAACTGTCTACTCCATATCTAAGCATTAATTTTTCACCTAACATTGTCTGAGTATGTTCACCCCAAGTCAACACATTCACATATTTGTCTTTGCCAGAATAACACTGCACAACACATTCACATATTTGTCTTTGCCAGAATAACACTGCACATTTATGTAAGTTTGTCTGCCAAAACTTGCATGTCTTTCATTAATTTAGAAAGAAAGAAACATGCAGAGATATTTGGTTTCTGTTACGTTTCTCTTCTGTGCATAAATTCATGCTATGAAATTACAAAATAACAGCTTTGGACAACTTTCAAATACTGAAATTGCTCTACTAAGAATACACTAGCTCCTTCCTTCCTCTAGCTTTCTATAATTTTATTATTATCTCAGAAATTAGCTTACCCTCATAGGGGAAGATTTCCACAAGCAATGATAAGACTATCAAAATACATAAGGAAGCGAATGTTACATAACAAATTAACAACCTCCTGCACAACCCCCTGCATTCCACTCTTGTTGGTGAATTACAGTTGTGAGTGTTCTGCTCATCTGTTCAATTAACTTGCTGCTGAAGCCTTTCATATTCTTTCCAACTAGAATTGACATATAATTCATTTCTCCAGAGTTAAAGCTCTGTTGCATTAACCACCATCCACCTATTAGCTAATTCAATGCCTTACTTTTATTTAGTCCAAAATTTTTTTAAAAAGTCATTAAAAAATAACATACTCAGCTGCTTGTTTATAGTGCTTCAATTCTTTCTTCAAAATTTTGTTCTCATTTTCTAAAAGCATATTCTGGGTGTAGACATCTGGAACATGCCCGCCACCTCTAAGTTCAGTTACTCCCTTCTGTATTAACTCATACCTAGGATAAAATCAAACAAAAGACTTTATATTGTTTCTTCCTACTACATTGGCTTAATTTATGTACATTTCAAAAAGTTAAATCACTTTTTAAAAATTTATTTATTTATTTTTGGCTGCATCGGGTCTTCGTTGCTGCACATGGGCTTTCTCTAGTTGTGACAAGCGGGGGCTACTCTTCATTGCGGTGCGCAGGCTTCTCATTGTGGTGGCTTCTCTTGCTGCTCTTGTTGCGGAACACAGGCTTTAGGCACGTGGGCTTCAGCAGTTGCGGTGCTTGGGCTTAGCTGCTCCACGGCATGTGGGATCTTCCTGGACCAGGGCTCGAACCCATGTCTCCTGCATTGGCAGGCAGACTCTTAACTACTGCGTCACCAGGGAAGCCCAAAAAGTTAAGTCTTAGGGAATGTTTATAGTGATGAGTTGCAATATAACTTTTTAAATTTAAAATGTCAATATTCATAAGATATTTTTAAAATAAAATATTAATGAATTGCTAAGTACTAATATCATCATGGTGCATAAAATATAACTGAACATCTCCTATGCTCCAGGCACTAGTCCAGACACTGGTGAAATTAACAAAAATGTCCAAGTCCCTACCTATCTAATGGAGTTTCCATTCTAATGTGGATGGTGATCTATTCTATGAAGTAAAATAAAGCAAGATAAGAGAAACAGAGAGACTGAAGTAGAGAATGATGGGGGGTGTTTGTGAGATTTTTTATAAGGTGGCCAGAGAAAGTATAACTGACAAGTGATATTTCAGCAGGGAACTGAAGGGAATGAGAGACTAAGCCATGTGGATATGTGGGAGAGGAGCATTCTTGGCTGATAGAAAAGTAAATGTAAAGGCCCTGAGACAAGGAGGCATTTGACAAATACAATACAAAGCAAAAAGCCAGTACATCTGTAGTATTTGGAAACGGAGCCAACTAAGTGAGTAGGAAAGAGAATGGTGAAAGATAAGTCAGGAAGACAGCAGGGAGCCAGAAGGAGGAATGTGATTTTACTCTGAATCAGAGCCATCAGAATGCTTTAAGAGACAAGTGACATTGATCAGATTTATGTTTTAAAAGGATTAGTCTGGCATCTGTTTGAAGAAACTGACTCTAGAGAAGCAAGAGTAGAACCAGAGAGTCTAGTTAGGAGGCTGCTGCAATAGTTCAGGAGAGAAAGATTGGTGGCTTAGACAAAGTTGGTAACAGTAAGGATTGTGAGGAATGGGTATCTTCTGGACATGCTGTAAAGATGGAGCCGACAGGATTCTCCTACAGATCAGATGTCAGGTGTTGGTTAAAAAAGAAAAGTCAAGGATGACTCCAAGGATTTTGGCTGAGCAACAGACAGACATTTAGTGGGGACAAATGTAGTAGGAACTGGGTGCTTAGAGAAATCAAGGAACTGTTTCTATCCACGTTAAATGCAATATGTCTGCTGGGCAATTAAGTGAAAATGAACATTATAAGTACATGTCCAGAGTTCAGGGAAAAAGTTAGGACATGCAGTTTAAATCTGGGAATGATCAGTAAATAGATACACTTTCAAGTCACAAGATTGGATGAAGCCAGTTAGGAAGTGAATGTAAAGAGAGAAGTAAGGAAGACCTAGGACTATTTCAAGATTGGGAAGAGAAGGAAATACTACCAAATAGAGACTAAGAAAGAGAGGGAGCAGTGAAGTAGTGAAAGAATAGAAGAGTGCTTGGGTCAGGGACCAAGCGAAGAAAGTGTTGCAAGAAATAAGAAATGGGTAACAGTGACAAATGATGCAAGGAGACTGAATAGGAGTACTGAGGATCAATCACTAAATTTGGCAATGTGAAGTCACTGAAAAAAGTTTCAGTAGAGTCATGGAGGTGAAAGTGGAACTAGAGTAGGAATGAGAGAGTAGGAAATGAGGAAGTAGCAAGAAACTCTTTCAAGGAGATAAGCTATAAAGCAGAGCCCAGGAAATCAAGATGAACCTAGAAGAGAAAGTGGAGTCCAGGGTGTTTTGTTTTCTTCTATTTTTTAATATATGACATATTATTGTACATCTCTATGCTGATGTGAGTGATTCAGCAGAGAAGGAAAAAGTTTACAGTGCAGGAAAGAGAGGGGACAATTGCAGGAGTCATGTGCTTGAGTAGGTGAGAGGAGCTGGGATCCAGTAGAGGAGAGCTGGCCTCAGCTGACAGGGTATATGGCTCAGCCGCTGTGACAGGAGAGAGGGAGAACGCTGACAACAGAGGTGGCAGGTTGGTAGAGAGGAAGCAAGAGTCGTGGAACTTCCATTTTCTCAGTGAAATAAGAAGGAACATCAGAAAATCATTTATAAGTCTGTAAATAAGTACAATTTTAATCATTATATGTAGCAATTAATAAAGTTAAATAAAAAACAACCACAGCATAGAAAAACATTTCAAGTAATATAGTTATTAACAAAGAAATCCCTACAAACCTTGCTATAGATGAGCTAAATATTAGTTTAAAAATGTTTAATTTTCAGCATTTTCATATTTTAAATCTTAACTTTATTAATATATTACACATTAGTAGTCATATGTTTTGTGTTATATATATATCTTATCTGATACCAAAAAATAGCAAGAAAACCTCTGTAAAATATCCAAAAGTTTAAGATAATTGAATCAATATTAAATGATATTTGTCACAACTTACAAAACAACAAATAGATAACCATTTAAGCATAAAATCACTTTTCTATACATATTTGGAATGTGGTTTATACTTATCTCAAAAGAGAAGACATAAGGATTGACTGAAGTATTGGACCATAAAGTTTTTCTGACCATAAAATTGGTTTTCAGCAACTTGCTTTATTTAATGCAGAAAAAAAATCACTAAAGAAATTATTTCAAGAAGAAAAAAAGTGATATGAAGGCCACTAAAATAAATGCTATGTAAATAAATTAATATGTGGTAAAAGTTTTAACTGCACTACCCACGTTTGAGTAATTATGTATTATGCCAAATTTTATTGGCTAAAAGCAGCAATATTTACCCTTTTGTGAAAATTAAAGGAATATTATACTAATTTATAATTTCTTCTAATATTAAGAAAAAATTAAAATAGCAATTAAATATTATAAATAATTGCACTATTACATTTGATGGCATTTTTACTACCATCCAACCTTCAGTAGAATGGTAGGAACAGAAGCCAAACTGGAGAGAACCAAGGATGTAAAAGAGTGAAGAAAGAAAGAAAATAGCCTGTTTTCAAAACACTTGGCTGTAAAGGGAAGAAGAGTTGGAGTGAGTTAGAGATAATAAGAGGAAGAGGTAAAGAGCAAGAATGTACATTTCGCGTGAGTCCTGACCTTGTTAACAGCCAGCAAAACAATCCAGTGGAGGAAAGGAGATGGTTGACATATGCTCGGTAAGGGTACATAAAATGCACTACCATAATTTCTCCATTTTAACCCTTTCTTTAATTTTGCCCCCAGGGAAATTATAATTGTCCACAGAGCACTTCTAAAGGGTCATAAAAATATTATTGACTAAACCCACAGTGCAGACTTTGTGTGGTTCATAGAATATTATGAATATGTATAATCTTTTCTGTGTGTGTTAACAGTCAGAAAATAAATATTTAGAATTTGGAGAAAAAAAAAAGTTTCTGGGCCATATGGTCTCTGCTGTGACTAATTAACTTTGCCATTAAATGTAATAGTGTGAAAGCAACCAGAGACAAATAGACAATACCTAAAAGATAGGTCATGGCTGTGTTCCAATAAAATTTTATTTACCAAAACAGGAGGCATGTTAGATTTGGCCCCAGAGCCTTAGTTTGCTGACCCCAGATTCCATGGATTTACTGCAATTACTGTTTGAGGAATGAAGGAACATAAGCCAAATTTCACTGCTCAGGTTTTTTGGTTTGGGGAGTTTTTGTTTATTTTTTGTGGGGTTTTTTTTTTTTTAAAAACCAACAATAGAGAAACCTTGCTTCACCACCTTTTGTAAAATTAAATGAATTTACAGCAATGATATATTACAAATGTTTTTCTCTATAATAAGAAATTATAAAAATAATATATATGGGCTTCCCTGGTGGCACAGTGGTTGGGAGTCCGCCTGCCGATGCAGGGGACATGGGTTTGTGCCCCGGTCCGGGAAGATCCCACATGCCGCGGAGCGGCTGTGCCCGTGAGCCATGGCCGCTGAGCCTGCGCATCCGGAGCCTGTGCTTCTCAACGGGAGAGGCCACAGCAGTGAGAGGCCCGCGTACCGCAAATAATAATAATAATTATTATATATATATATATATATAAAATATTCCTACAGTCTTACTATGCATAATAAGTAAAAGTTTCTGATCAAAGTAAAAAATGTTTCATTTGAAAAAAAATATCCAATACAGTATAATCTCATTACAAATAATTTGTAATCTCATCACAAACTGGCGGCTAGGGGTAAGAATAAAATAATTTGAACCACAGTATTACTAAGCCCATATAATGAAGAGTTATTTATACAAATTTTACATGATTACAATATTATGCTAAATGTAATGCTTACTTAGGGGTTCTATAAATCTTAATACTATTGTACTTTTCTGAAATTTCATCTCAATTCAAATTGCTAAATCTAAAAGGATAATATGGCAACAAGCACCTAATTAAGAGCATACTTGGTTCCAGATTTCTCCAAGGGGATCATTTCATACTTTGGACTGGCCAAACATGTAAGCACTACATGTCCTAACACATATCTTTAGAAGAAAAACAGGAAACTGAACCACATTAATCTTTCATTAGTACTGCAAATTAACCATCTACCTACTTTTATATAAATGTATTTTCTAATACATTTGCAATTATTTCTTAGGGACATTTTTTTTTTTTTTTTTTTTTTTAATTATTTTTTTTTTATTTATTTTTTTGGTACGCGGGCCTCTCACTGTTGTGGCGTCTCCCGTCGCGGAGCACAGGCTCCGGACGTGCAGGCTCAGCGGCCATGGCTCACGGGCCCAGCTGCTCCGCGGCATGTGGGGTCTTCCCGGACCGGGGCACGAACCCGTGTCCCCTGCATCGGCAGGCGGACTCTCAACCACTGTGCCACCAGGGAAGCCCCCTTAGGGGCATTTTTATAAAAATTATTCACACAACTTCCAGATTTAATAGGAAGAGTATTATTTTCCTACCATCAAACTTGCTCTTCTTCCTAAACTGTATTAATCAAAAATGGTTCTCCTAGTTAAATTTATTAACATTAGACATGCAATCTAAAATAATGAAACTGATTTCTTCTATGTGCATGGTCTCTGTAGATGAGAACGAAAAAAAAGCAGAATATAAAAATTAAATCAAAGTTGGATTAGTAGAAATTACAAATTGCACCTATATTTAAAATTAGGATTCAACTCCAAAACACTATAAACAACTTTATATATCATATTATTCCTTCTTTCTATAATACCAATGGCTTTTAAAAATCAAACATTTTATTATCCAATTATTTAATAATATTTTGTTAACAAATGTTAGGACTCTGAAAATGTGTCTGGTGACATTACCACTACAGCAAAGGAATAAAGACAGTATGCCTGCTGATTTTCATAACCAATAAGTTATTAAGTTTTCAATTATAACAAGAAAAAGGTATCATTTGACAATGTAATTCCACTTACTTCTAAAGGAAGGGATATTTGTAGAAAAAAAATTAGTTGTGTGAGTAGAGAAAAGCAGGCCATTACACTCTAAGTAAAACAAGCAAAGTAGTACTGTTAGCAGGATGTCTTAATACAGGAAATTATACCCTTATAATTATTCAAAAGACATTTAAAAAATATTTTATCAAATAGCTTCATATTATATAACTACAGGAGACATTCCATTTTATTGATTCTTGAAAATCACCTAAATTTATATATTTAGAAAAGATATTTATTAAAAATTTCTTTGAAATTGATATCCTGATTGTGTGTGTATGTGTGTTGTGGTTTCAGTGGTGGTGATGAGAAAAGTTTCTATCCAGTTCATTCATTTTACATAAGCCGAGTCACTCAAAGTCTTTTAAGATGATTAAAAGTACACATGTTAAATAATGTTAGTATTTCTAGAGAACTATTTACTTAATTGTTTACCATTCAGACTGAAAGCAATCAAGAGTCCTAGTCATTCCCATTTTGATCAGGAAATTGCAGAGAAAGTCTTCTATTGCTTCAGGTACTGCATGCTTTGAAGAAAGGACTGTTTTCTGCTCCTAAAATTTAAATGTGTAATTACTTATTTTGAAAATATCAAAGCTTTGATTAATTGTACACATAGGCTTTACATTCATTCATTCATTCATTCACTTTTTAAAGAATTTTGTTGACTATTATGTCCAGGAACTATTTTAATCACTAGGGATAAAGCAGTGATGAAAACAGACAAGACTCAGTCCTCATAACTGATAGTCAAGAATATGGGGACAGAAAATGAATAACTAAATTAAAAATATATAGTATGGTAGATGGTACTAAGTGCCTGGGGGTACAGACAGAGGATTGAAGCGAGGGAAAGCCAGGTAGGGAGCAGATATGCGTGTGGAGCTGGGCTGCTATGTACATAGGGTGATGAAGGAAGATTTCATTGAGAAAGCGGCATCTGAACATAAATCTAGAGAAGAGGTAGAGTCATGTTCCAGATACAGCATTAGCAAGTACAAAGGCAGGCAAGACTGTGATTGGGTTGTTTGAAAAACAATAAGGAGGTCACCTTGCCCTAACAATAGTATATAACAAATTAAATATACATATATGTATAGATCATTTTATTATTTTAATTATTATCATTATAAAAAGAAATGTGGTTTGGGTGCCTTGATTTCTAGAAACACTACGGAAGAAATTATGTGCAATAGAGGGCTCTTGTACTATTATTTCATAATGGAAATAAATAAGTCTATCAACTAGATTAGGGGTCAGCTAACTGTTCTCATAAACAAAGTTTATTAGAACCCCACCATGCCCACTTATTTACATATTGTCTATGGCTGTTTTTGCACTACAGTTGAGCAGTTGCAACAGAGACCTTATGCCCTTCAAAACACAAAATATCTTCTATGTGACCCTTGTGAGAACAAGTTTAGAGATCCTTAAACTAGAGAAATGGAGATATTTCAGCAAGTGAGATATGAAAGTAGGACAGTCGTAACAACTACCATATCACATATCACTGTATAAAATAAATAAAGTAATGGGTAGATTCTTAATATCAACAGCATCATTGTCTCCAGAGTACATTCATTTTCTTCTCATTGGTAAGAACTCAGTAATCTCAGTGCAGAATATTTGGATAGTCAGATCTACTTTCACCTATAGAAACCTAGCAATGGACTTTCCTTCCTACTTCCCCTTCCCAACTTGGTAATGGTTACAGACCAGGTTACAAAGAATGCACACAATGGTTACACAGAAATGCACTGAAGAAAGAAAATCTTTCTTGCTACAAAAAGTCGTTTAAAAGTTCTATGAATACTTTAATACTGATGTTAATTACTAGTGGCTATTATGACAATCAAAATAGTGATGAGTTTAAGCAAATTTAGGGGGCTACAGAAAATTCCTGACAAATGATGGGGTTTTAAAATTTTTTTTAAAGCTCATGCAGAATAACTTCTCTTTCCTAAGATCATTAAAAAAGATATCATATAACAATGATGATTATGTGTAGGACCCTATATCAAACATCATGGGAGATGCCAAAGTAGCAAGAGTACAGCATGCCTGTCATCCATCAAGTTGTTAAATTGTGGTAGAAGATTTTATATTTATAACTGTTAGGTAAGGACATAATATAGCTCAAAGCAAGCATTCATTATACTTAATAAATGCTACCTTTGATTTTGGGTCAGTAAATTTGAACATGATATTTTAAGATGAGAAGGATGATAGTTGAAGGAATCAGGAACATAGGAGAAAAGGGAAGACAAACTGTACCTACTCTAGTTTCTAAAGATGCCTATGGACTGCTTGCTTACAAGATGCTTGTGTGTATGGTTGCAGCACATAAGATTCCTGCCTTCTCAAATAAATGTTTTCTCTTCCTGAACACATCTTATACACACACCTTGAAACATCCAAAACAGAAATCCAACCACTTTAAACTGCCATAGTTCTTACTTATACATTGAGATTTCTAATCCTGACAATATATTTATGTATCTAATCTATAGTCCTTCAGCATTATACACCACACACACACACACACACACACACACACACGTTCCAAGCTGTGATGTGATCATAAATGTCTCTTTTATCTTTACAAATAATATTAACTTAACATATATTTGCTGAATATCACCCATATGCCAGGCACTGTGTGAAAAGTGCGAGGAATTAAATATGAATAAGACACCGTCCCTGTCTCAAGGAATTGAAAGACCAGTTGAGTAAAAAACAAAACATGTAAACAAATAACAGTATAGAAGCTCTACTATTTGTGATTAGTTTTGATTATAAAAGCCTATTTATAAGTCTACACAGAACATCATACATACAGCCAATAGGTACATTTATGTAATTTTAAGTTGCATTTTTATCTCAATTATACAATATATACAACTCTCATTACAGCTTTAAAACTAATTTAATGATGGTGTTAATAAAGCACCTCAGAATAAGGACCAAAAGAGCCAAGGCTCTAGAAACTAGCAAATATGCCTCACTTTACAAAATGCTGAATTATTAAAAAGTCCATCCACATGTGACCCAGAAATCTGTTGGAGACAAAAGTGGCTCTAGCATGTTGCTTAGTTTTTTCTATGAAAGTTATAAAGGTGAAATTTTCTAATTAGAGAGGTTTCTAAATAGTGTCTCATGTGAAAAAATAGAGATCGTCTTGGTAAAGTGATAAAGGTGGAAAGTATTTCACTTGTCTTGGGTAGGTAAAAGAAGGCTTTGTTAAGAAAGACTCTTAAGTTGGAATTTATAGAAGAAGAGGAAGTTCAATGGGTGAAGAAGGATGGAAGGAAATTCAAGGCAAGAAAAACATCAGAGGCAAAGACAAGGAATGAGAGTTCAGTCCATTCAAGCTCAAGGTCTTATGGAGAAAGGACCAGAGAGAAAGTTGGAAAGCCAGACAGAAAGCACATCAAGAAGGTCAAGGCAGACGGAAGGATGGAGACATTGCTGATTTAAGTAGAGGAGTGATAAATTCAAATTTGTGTTTAAAACCTCCTTTACATGCAAGTAGAAGGAGGCGCAGTATCAGCAGCATGACAGTAGCTCTGATGAGAGAAGACAGAAGGTGAATCTGAGACGAACTAAGTAAGGAATGAAAGCGAAGAGAAGGATATGAGATATGTTGAGAACAAAATCAGAGAGGACTTAAGAATTAATTAAATGTTGAATACCAAAGAATTACTGGACCATATATCAAAACTGTCTTGATATAGTTTGAACTATTCCACTCAGTGAGTTTCTTTGAAAACTGTTTTTTTGACTCCTGAGAATCAACTCTTTAATTCAAATTAAGTCAAAGATACTAGTTTGAAGAATCTATAGGCAAGGCTCGGGGTACAAGTAGCCTGGTTCTTTAACTGAAATTAAATGTGTACATCAAGGGGCTAGGAACTCAATAATGACAAACAGCTCTTTTTATTGTGATTTAATCATTGAACATATAAAAGTAATGAAAATTATTTTATGTATTTATTTCATTAGCATATATGATATGTAAGATTTAAAATGAACTTTAATGAAACCAAATTCTAAAGAAAAGGAGGAGACCTTCAAGATGGCAGAAGAGTAAGACGTGGAGATCACCTTCCTCCCCACAAATACATCAGAAATACATATACATGTGCAACAACTCCTACAGAACACCTACTGAACGCTGGCAGAAGACCTCAGACCTCCCAAAAGGCAAGAAACTCCCCCACGTACCTGGGTAGGGCAAAAGAAAAAAGAATAAACAGAGACAAAAGTATAGGGACGGGACCCGCACCAGTGGGAGGGAGCTGTGAAGGAGAAAAAGTTCCCACACACTAGAAAGCCCCTAAACTGGCGGAGACGGGAGGTGGCGGGGCTGGGGGAGCTTTGGGGCCACTGAGGAGAGCGCAGCAACAGGGGTGCGGAGGGCAAAGCCGGGAGATTCCCGCACAGAGGATCGGTGCCTACCAGCAATCACCAGCCCGAGAGGCTTGTCTGCTCACCCGCCAAGGCGGGTGGGGGCTGGGAGCTGAGGCTCAGGCTTCGGAGGTCGGATCCCAAGGAGAGGACTGGGGTTGGCTGCGTGAACACAGCCTGAAGGGGCTACTGCGCCACAGCTAGCTAGGAGGGAGTACGGGAAAAACTCTGGAACTGCCTAAGAGGCAAGAGACCATTGTTTCGGGGTACGTGAGGAGAGGGGATTCAGAGCACCGCCTAAATGAGCTCCAGAGACAGGCGCGAGCCGCGGCTATCAGCACGGACCCCAGAGACAGGCATGAGACGCTAAGAAGCCTGTGTACCACCAAGAAGCCTGTGTACGAGCACACGTCACTATCCACACCTTCCCTCCAAGGAGCGTGTGCAGCCCGCCACCACCAGGGTCCCATGATCCAGGGACAACTTCCCTGGGAGAACACACAGCACCTCGGGCTGGTGCAACGTCACACTGGCCTCTGCCGCCACAGGCTCGCCCCGCATCCATACCCCTGCCTCCCCCACCCCTGGCCTGAGTGAGCCAGAACCCCCGAATCAGCTGCTCCTTTAACCCCGTCCTGTCTGAGCGGGAACAAACGCCCTCAGGTGACCTACACACAGAGGCGGGGCCAAATCCAAAGCTGAACCCCAGGAGCTGCGCGAACAAAGAAGAGAAAGGGAAATTTCTCCCAGAAGCCTCAGAAGCAGCGGATTAAATCTCCACAATCAACGTGATATACCCTGCATCTGTGGAATACCTGAATAGACAACGAATCATCCCAAAATTGAGGCAGTGGACTTTGGGAGCAACAATGTTTTGGTTTTTTTTTCCTTTTTCTCTTTTTGTGACTGTGTATGTGTATGCTTCTTTGTTTGATTTTGTCTATAGCTTTGTTTTTACCATTTGTCCTAGGGTTCTATCCTTTTTTTTTTTTTTTTAGTATAGTTTTTAGCACTTGTTATCATTGGTGGATTTGTTTTTTGGTTTGGTTGCTCTCTTCTTTCTTTCTTTCCTATTTTTTTCTTTTTTTTATTACTTTTAAAATTTCTTTTATTCTCAATACTTATTTATTATTTTTAAAAGTTTATT